CCAGACAAGGAGGGGAACCCCACACCGGAAAGCAAGTACCCCAGATTCTACTGAACTGGTGCATTTAATGTAAATTTGAACCTCATTGAGCAAGCTCAATGCAAGGGTTAATTAAGTGATTGATGGTTGTTCAGATCTATACAATGGCACATATTGCTGTAAACTTGGGATTTCACATTTTCATTCTCTTAAACTAATTATTTCCTCACTCTCTCTCTTTCTGAAAACTTGTGTGAATGCGTGTGTTCATGTGTTAGATTAGTTTATATGTCTTAGATTTATCCAATAAAGCCTTATTTATATTGAAAAGAGAAGTATCTTGTGTTTTGTGCTCACAAGTTAATGTCTTAAACTGCCGATCTTGTTACATATGCTAATTAATAGTGTTTTCACTATATTTTGGATATAAATATCCATTGCAGAATTGATGTCATACGGCTCGTTCACTGAATCGCTGGCCGTCTCAGTGATCAACCGTAAAACAGTGATTCTGTCCTAATTCCCTTACATATTATTGGTGGAGTTCCCTTTAAAATCTTAAATGATTCCCTTTGAGCTAAATTGACCTGTTTCCCTTACACAGTATAAGTCATTATAATCAGTAATTATGTCCCCATTGGATGCAACAAATGCCTCGTTTATAATGGGTTTTAATGGTTTTGTCTCGTTGCCCCTGCCGGGACACGGCATCACAGTATGGTGAGGGGTGTAACATTTCCGTCTCACGCTTGAGGTATTCGGCCAATCACAATGCACTGGATAGCTGGCCAATCAGAGCACACCTCGCTTTTCAGACCGATGAGCTTTGTAAAAATCGACGCGTTTCAGAAAGGCGGGGCATAGAGGAGACACAATAATGTACAGTATGTGGAAAATAATGTGTTTTTTTTAACCGCATAAACACATTTCATTACACCAAATACACAAAATAATGTTCTTTTTAGCAGCATCATATGACCCCTTTAAGAATATTGGACAAGAAATGGAGGAAATGGCGGAATCGATAGATGTAAAAAATATAAAATTCAGTAATACAGTACACATGTCAGCAGTTCCACCATAGATGTTTGTAATGCCTATAGTAGATCTTAATTTAACAGATGAAGTGAAGAAACAGGATTGTGATCCAATAAAAATAAGAGTTAATAAATATTTGGATCAGAAGTATTATGATATGATACAGATATTTACTGATGGTTCGAAAGATCCAGAAACTAGGAAAACAGGAATAGCAGTAGTTATTCCGTATTATGAAATAGTTATTAAGAAAAGAACCCCGGATTTTTTATCTGTATTTACAGCAGAGTTGGTAGCTATTGTTATGGCTCTCCAGTGGGTAGAGGAAAATATAATTAAAAAAGCAGTAATATGTTCAGATTCATTGGCTGTGTTAAAGAGCATCCAATCAGGCCAGTCTAACTGCAGACAAGATGTCATACTTGAAATACTGCAGTATACAGGTGCATCTCAATAAATTAGAATGTCGTGGAAAAGTTCATTTATTTCAGTAATTCAACTCAAATTGTGAAACTCGTGTATTAAATAAATTCAGTGCACACAGTCTGAAGCAGTTGAAGTCTTTGGTTCTTTTAATTGTGATGATTTTGGCTCACATTTAACAAAAACCCACCAATTCACTATCTCAACAAATTAGAATATGGTTACATGCCAATCAGCTAATCAACTCAAAACACCTGCAAAGGTTTCCTGAGCCTTCAAAATGGTCTCTCAGTTTGGTTCACTAGGTTACACAATCATAGGGAACACAGTTGTTGTCACGAATCCGGTCCATGAACTTCCAATTTCATTGACTCTCGCACTACACACTGTTGCACATCTCTCCGGACTACATATCCCATCATTCATTGCACTGATTGCACTCAGCACAGATTGCACCCAGCTGTTTACACTGATTGCACCCAGCTGTTTCATATCACTCCCTCACTATTTAACACTCACTCTGTTTCTTTCCCTCGGCCGAGTATTGTCTAGCGATTATCACTCTCTTAGCGATAGCTACGCTACAGAGCCATAAGTCGTGCCTTAGCCTTAGCCTTAGCCTTAGCCTTAGCCTTAGCCTTAGCCTTAGCCTTAGCCTTAGCCTTAGCCTTAGCCTTAGCCTTAGCCCAGTTTTGCCTTGCCTTGTCTGTCTCCCTCTGGTTTTGATCACTGCCTGTTTTCCTGGACTTCTCCCTTTAGCCTTGCCCCTGTGACTCTGTCTGCCTATATTGGCTTTATGAAGTATTCTAATTTGTTGAGATAGTGAATTGGTGGGTTTTTGTTAAGTGTGAGCCAAAATCTTTACAATTAAAAGAACCAAAGACTTAAACTCCTTCAGTCTGTGTCCATTGAATTTATTTAATACACAAGTTTCACAATTTGAGTTGAATTACTGAAATAAATGAACTTTTCCAAGACATTCTAATTTATTGAGATGCACCTGTATAAAAAATCAGGGCATTTTTATTTCATTTATTTGGGTTCCAGCACATGTTGGAGTTGAAGGAAATGAGAAGGCAGATAAGCATGCTAAGAATTCTTTGAACTTGAATCAGATAAAAATTTGTAAGGCAGAAGCAAAAATAGTAATTAGGAAAGCTCTTATAAATGCATGGCAGAAACTTTGGGAGAAAGAGAAGACTGGACGACATCTATATAGAATTCAAAGGGAAGTAGGAATACGTAACAATGACATGGGATTAAGAAGACGAGAAGAATCAGTAATAATAAGAATTAAAATAGGACATACTGCATTGAATGGAAATTTAAATAGAATTAAGAAACATCCGAATGGATTATGCATGCATTGTGGGATTTGTGAGACTGTAGAGCATGTACTGTTGCATTGTAGAGCATATAACAATGAACGACAAATGAAGCTAAAGTAATAGAAGAAGGTGGAAGCATGATGCTAGAAGATATCTTAAGTAAGCTAAAAAGGAATAAGAATATTAGATTTGCTTTGTTGAAATATCTTAAAGATACAGGAAATTATATAAGAATATAATGATGTTTATTTATTTGTTTATTTCTTTATGACTATTAGTATTATTATTTAGTATGATATACATACATATATGATACATATACATGCATCGATGCTCCACACTCCAGTTCAGATGGTGGCGGTATTGCACTAATAAGCTACTCTGCCAACCGCCAATAAATAGAAAATGAAAGAAGAAGAAAAGAGGCGGTTCGTTGTTGCGTGCGCACGTCAGTGTGAGTTTTAGCTGGGTGCTGCTGCGTCGAATGATGGCTGCGTCGAAGCCCGTAGAGCCTCAGTCCGGGAGCGGGCTCCCCCGTTGGCAGCTTGCACTCCTGGTAGGGACTCCGATCGTCCTCGGTGTCGGAGCTGTATACCTGTGGAACCGAAGTCGCGGCAAAGAAAAGCAAGGGAAAAAGAATGGGGAGAGGAAAACTCCCGAAGGGAGCGCTAGCCCTGTGCAGGGCCAGCACGGTGCGACCAATCCAGAGCTGGAGAACATGGTAATGAGCCCAATTATAAAGCCAATCTGTCCACGTATTTAATACACTTCATTTATATATTTGGATCTGTTATTTTGTCTGTAAATATTTTCTTGACACCCTAACATTACCGCATTCTCAGTCAAGGGCACTGCTTGTCAAACTAGCCTATGTTAGCGAAAGTGCATTAGCCAGTTAGCTTCTAAACCACGTCTGTGATTACTATCTGTGTAGTCTGCGAGGATTGTACAATTGTCTTGGTTTTGTAACCCTTTATAATGCAGAATATATTTAGATCTCACGCCTAATGGTTCAGATTTTTTATATGTATAACAATTCTGGTGGTGTGTTGTATACGAGGGCGAGGAGGCGGTCAGAGTGGGGCAAAACCACATGTGACCGTTTCTATAGACCGTAAACTATTAGTCATGTATAAGTTTAATTATTGCATGCTTCATATATTGACAGCGTCGCCTCCATTTTAACTAACGTTAGTTAAAGCCCCAGAACTTTGTCGCACATGGACCTATGCATGCTTAGCATATATATGATACAGTTACACTGTCAGGGTCAAAACAGGGTCCATCCCAGTAGGGGTTCAATCTTCAACTGGCTGGCAGGAGCCGTGACCTGCCAGTGGTTGGTGGCAGCTGCCAGTGGCAAGTCACGTGACCTGTCAGTGGTTGGTGGCAGCTGCCAGTGGCAAGTCACG